ATCCCAAACAGAATAGGAGCAGATCTTGCCGGAAGATGACGATGGAGTTCTCCCAATCTCTTCAGCTTTCTAATGCTCTCACTCCATGCACACACTACCCCCAGGAGGCACCCCTTTTATAGAAGAAAAAAAAAGGAAACATGCCCCCTAGAATTCTAATGGAAAGATGGAGAGGCAGAATTTGAGGAGTCGAATTAAATGGGCAGTTTTGATGGAGTCGAAATGGTAGAGCATTTATTGTGGCTGTTGAAATCTCAGCAGCCACACCAAATGACGTCATTTATTGTGGCTGTTGAATTTCGCAGCCACACCAAATGTCAACAAAACCCAAAACAAATTTTGTAATTTTCCAATGGGAAACAAGTTAAAAATTAGTTTTAGTAAGAGAGGCTATTTTTCAAAACTGGATTGGTGGCTATTTGCATAGCGGACTTGTTGTCACAATGCATAATAGTAGTGTGAGGTGGGATGCTCAAATATGAGAGTAAATAGCAAAGCTAGGTAAGTTTACATGCCGTGGAGGCTATGGCATGATATTCCGCCTCAGCAAAAGAGCAGGAAATTGTGGTCTGTTTCTTATATTTCCATGAAACTGGGTTGAAACCGACGTAAATGAAATAGCCTGATGTCGATCATCGAGTGGTGGGGCAAGAAGCCCGATCTGAATCAGTGTAAGCCCGTAGTTGTAGATCTGAGTTGGCGGGAAGAAGAATGCCGGTACCTGGTGATGATTTATCGTACCACTCGGATTGCAGCATTCCAATGAGAGGTGCAAGGACGAGAGACAAAATGGTTGAGAGTGTTAATAGAGTAGGCGAGGTCCAGCTGAGTAATAGTGAGGTAAAGGAGGTGGCCAATGAGACACCAATATGGAGATGGGTCAGCCAAAGGTTCGCCATCATCAGAAGAGAGCCTCAGATTTTGTTCCATAGGGGAAGAGCTTGGTATTGAACCGAGAGCATCCATGTCAGTTAGTATATCAATAGCATATTTATGCTGTGACAAAAAAATACCAGCGTCGGAGCAGGAGACTTTGATGCCCAAGAAGAGTTTTAAACAACCAAGATCCTTTAATTGAAATTGGTTGTGAAGGAACTACTTCAACGATTGAATGGCCTGATCTTCGTTGCCTGCAATTACAATGCCATCCACATATACGAGAACAGCAGTAAATGAGGAACCACGCATTGAGGTAAAAAGTGAGTATTTAGCCTGCGATTGTGTGTAGCCAGCCTGAAGGAGAGTGGAGGAAAATTTTGTGAACCAATTGCAAGACACTTGAGGCCATAGATATCAGTCTTGTCACCAAAACTGGGAGGTAATTTCGTATGGACCTCTTCGTCATGATCGCCATGTAGGAGCGTGTTGTTGACATCGAGTTGATAGAGATGCCAATTTTTTGGCAGAAGCTAGAGTTAGGAAGCAACGAAGTGCCACTAGTTTCACAACAGAGGCAAGAGTGTCACGATAATCGATCCCTTCTGTTTGGGTGAAGCCCTTGGCAACGAGATGGTCTTTATACCACTCAACAGAGCCATTAGAGTGATATTTAACCTTGTAAATCCATTTGCAACCAATCATAGATTTAACCAGTGGAAGAGTAGTGAGAGACCATGTTTTGTTCAAGTGCATGGATCTCTTTCACCATCGCCTCCCTCCATCTAGGATCCTTAACAGCAGTGGAAAAGGATGTAGGTTCTATATGGGAAGATACGCTAGACAAGAATGTAGGTGGGGAGTAGAGAAACGATTATATGAAAGATAGTGTGAGAGAGGATAAGGTGTACCTTGCTATGAGGAAACCGATGGAGATGGAGTAGAGACAACATAACAATAGTCAGCAAGGTAGCCAGTGGTTTGGTGGTCCAGGATGAGCAATGCAGGGTAGGTTAAGGGGTTGAAGTTGGTGCAACGGTGGGTAGAATGGTAGGAATTAATATGTATGGAGTCATGGGCAGTGGCATGATTGGGTGGAGGCGGGGGTACATGAGTAGTATGTTGGAAAATGGGGTCACTGTAACTTTAGTGGAGAAGCTTTGAGGCGCATCTGAAGACACTGTCTTTAGAACGTTATTTTCCCTCACTCAATTTCATCGAGTTTGCTGTTGGGTTATAGGCAAATCCGTTCCCACAGAGCCTTGGGCGAGAATCTGCAACCAGCAAAGTTGAAGAATCTCCGAAGAAACCTTCTGTAAGATTGTAGCAGACCGGATTAAGAGAAAGAGAAAGTGGATTTCGAAATTGTGTGTTTTTGGAGTATGATTCATGCTCCTTAAATAGTTTATGAAGAGGTATGAAGAAAATGTAGGTGCTAGTTTAAATAAGGCACCTTGAACAGTCACAATTGCAAATATTGTGACTGTTTAAAAAGTAGTTAACAGTTAATGATTACTAACTTTGAATTGTGCCTCTTGATCACACTCGATCGAATCTTGATCGTTGATCTCATCAACGGTGATCAACGGACAGCATCGCACCGAAACCAAAGCCGCCCTTCGCGAGCCACGTGAAGTGCGAGCAAAGTGTGCCTCTAAAGCGCCTCATTGCGCCGCACACACGTGTGCACGATATCAAACCCCCATACTCTCCTCTACTATTTCTAAGGAGTGTAAATCAACTCCTATTAAAATACTGAAAACAAAGCTTATAATTTTCCAATGTGGGACATGTTCAAAACTGGGTTTTGTAAGAGAAAAGCTAATTTTTCAATCAAGTGTGCAGGTGCAATTTCTCATGTAATTGACCAATCGAACCCATTGGATTTAATCTCTTATGAGATTAAAATCCAACATAGTGTCGTTGGAAGCAGTCGGAGCAGATGAGTCAGGTGTGGCTGCACACGGTGTGTCGATAAGGGAGTATGGTTTTGTATCCAGAATCGGTGAAGGTAGAATGATAAATGAGGGGAGGGTAGTGACAGGGACAAAGGTGGTAGAAAAGGGGAAAACATCTTCATTTGTGAAGAGCCGGCCTATGTCAAGACCAAAAAGGCAGTATGCCTGTTGCTCCTGGGGCAAGGTTCAAAGTATCAATACTGTCCGATACGTCGGCAGTATCGACCCTTCTTTTATCTTTCATTTATTTTTTTTTTCAATTTTAATTCAGAGGAGCTGGTTTAAGTTCCAACTACCCTCTGAACCAGGCCTTGACCTGATACAACCCTTGTATGGGCACGGTGGATATGTAACGATTTTTTGAACCTTGTTGTGGGGGTAACCCATGAAGACACAATGGCATGCCTGAGGGGCAAATTTATCCGGCTGTAAAGGCACCCGAACAAGCGAAGATGTTTGTAGGGGGTGTCTTACCAAAGAGAAGTTCGTGAGGAGAACGATTGTGAAGGAGAGTGGTGGGTGTCCTATTGATGAGGTAAGCAGTAGTGAGGATACACTCTCCCCAAAAGGATAAGGGAAGATGGACTGAAAACGGAGGGCACGTGCGACATTGAGGAGGTGGCAGTGTTTGCGTTCGACTACCCCTTTTTGTTGTGGGGTAGCAAGGCAATTAGAGTGAAAAAAGTTGGTTAAGCCATTGGCAAAGAATTTATAACCATTATCGATACAAACAATTTTAATAGAAGAATTAAATTAGGTTTTAACATAAGCAAAAAAATCATGTACTAATTGTATAGTTTCATACTTAAAACGCATAAGAAAATACAAAGTACAAAGTGTAAAATCATCAACAACGGTGAAAAAAAAAACAGGCGCAAGAGGAGGAAGTAGTGGAGCTGATAGTGGGAGGGTCTATGGTCATGGTCAGGTAGTAGAGGCCACCATGCTGCTTACCCTGTAACATTAAGGCCCTGTTTTTGTTTTTTGTTAAGTTATTTTAAGTGTTTCCTAAGAAAGATTTATCCGGGTAAGTGCATTTATCCATGCTCTTTTATTTCCCATGTAGAAAAGGCAATAGCCATTTTATCTATAAAATTCAATTATTAAAAGGTGCATTTTTGTCCATTCAAATGTAGGTAACTTTCCCCAAGTAACAAAATTATTTATCCACCTAAAAGATGGGTAAATAATACTTAAAAAATAAATGAAAAAAGAACATGGATTTCTTGATCAATGGGAATCAAAATCCCATTAACCAACTTTCCCCCTTAAAATCCAAAAAATGAACGCCCCCTAACAGGTATAAGGATTCATGGAAAAAGAAACAGCATTAGCAATGTGAATGCTATGATATTGGTGAAAATAAAAACTGGGGGAACTGAAACTAAATTTATTAATATATTTATGTGACTGGAGAGGATATATAAACAAACCTTCTTTTATCTACCTGTCATTCCAATCTTTCTTGTCCTCTCCACGAGTACAACTAAAAGTCGTAAAGTCTCACAATGACAACGTTACTAAAAACCTAATACAGATGTTTTGAAAAGGAAAAGGAAGAGGCATTGGTGTTACGTTCAACTAAAACTTAATTTGGTTCAATATGTTCTGACGTGTGCATGCTAGCTCAATTTATCTATCAATAATCCATTTTGCATTCTATGCAGACAAAACGGAATATTTTCTGCATGATAATTGGATAACAATGGAATAAAGGATCTAAAGGGTTAGTATATTTAGCTAGAGTTTCTCAATGTAATAGGAATAGACGATAAAGCTATATAGTGTCTATAAATTAAGTAAAGCAAGTGGGAACCAGAGAAAAAGAAAACAGTACAACAGCGTGAACAATGTGAAATGATGGGCCAGAAAACATGCATGCTTTAGTGTCACCCTCGTGATCGAGTTCTGAGAAAGTAAATAAGTAGCTAGCTAGTGATCTCTGACCTGTTTTGTGTATATACATCCATAGTGAGAGTGGTGTGCGGGATGGTAGTGTTCTTTTTTAAGCCAAAGTCATGGATGGCGGCATCATCGTCATCATGGCCTACGTAATTCCTTGTCAAAAGACTTAGGGAGTCGTGGAAACCATTAATCAATAAACAATCTGGAAATTATCCAAAGTACTCCAGACTCTAGCAGCTTGAGAGTTGAGAAAAAGTTCCCTCTTTCCACGTCCCCTCCCGCTCCAATTCTTCTCTGAGAGAAGTTTCAGATATAAGAAGGCCAAACCCACCTTTCACCTGCTGTCAGGCTAGCTCTCACACAGTTCATCATCATCAATATTAATTCTTTCGGAGATCTCAATTAACCCAAAACCCGCCTTCTTCTTCTTCTTCAACATCGATCTCCATTAATATTACTAGCTTGTTAGTTTGATTAAGTGTAGCTGAAAACTGAAGAGAAGATATGTCAAAGGTACATCCAACAGTAGCTAATCATCATCAGAATAGATGTAGCAGTAGTACTAGTGCCACAGAAGAAGAGCTTGTCAATGTTTCTGCTCCATCCGTGTTTACTGTGTGGAAGAAGTCAAGCATGACTTTCCAGGGCACAGATGGGTTTACGGTGTTCAATCACGAGGGAAAGTTGGCTTTCCGAGTCGATAACTACTCAAGGAAGACATGTCCCAAGGGAGGCCTTCTTCTCATGGACGGAGCTGGGAGACCCCTACTAACTTTGAAGCCCCAGGTATATACAGTTACTGTACAAATTTTAGTTAATTTTCTCTCTTTCTCTTTTAATTTTGTTCTCCATTTAGGGTGACTAGTATTAAGTACTGGAATATTATTTACCAGATTCTAAACCTGCAACATAAATGGAAGGGATACAAAGGGGAAGGTTGCTATAATAAAAGTCCAGTGTTCTGCATGAGACGGCGATCGATTTTTCCCGGCAACGGCGAAACTGAAGCCTTCATGGGAGTCCCCAGGAAGCGATATGCAAAGACGTCGACTAATCCGGATTTTCAGATTGAGGGTTCCTTTAGGAAACGACATTGTAAGATCATAGGCCACAATGGCACGGTGGCAGCAGAGATATCCAGGAAGAAAGTAAACAACACAACAATTTTGTTAAGTGATGACGTATTTAATCTCGTTGTACAACCAGGGTTCGACTGCGAGCTGGTCATGGCTTTTGTGGTTATCATGGATCGTATCTGCCCCAAGCTTTTCACTCCCATCTTGTGTTTCTAATAATCCATCTGTGAGAGAGAGAGAGAGAAGTTTTCGCATATGGTGGCAGTATTTTCTTTAAACAGATCACCCAGTGTTAAGAAAATGCTGCAACCATAGATGCAGGTTGCAGCAAGCAGAGAGAGATAGAGAGAGATTTACGTTTTCCTGCTGGTAACAAATAGTACTGCTACACGCATTGGAGACCTTTGACTTTTTTAACCTTAATTATATTTTATGGCCTATGTAAAGATTGCCAAGGATGTAAAGGGTAATATATTGTTTGGGATCCACCATCCACTATACATCTTAAAGCATTCTCTGGATTTTTTTTTTTTTGCTTTATTTGGGAAACTAAGTTTGGGTTGATTTGTGATTTATAACACATTATAAATCACTGCATGTGCTTAATTATTTTGTTTGGCATATAATGGTAAGTCTTAGAAGCCTTTGGGCTTGGGGCTACATGAACCATTAATCCAATCCTAAGGATCTGGCATTAATCTTAGGGGGCGTTTGGTCATTAGTGACAAGTAAGTTTTCTGTTGATACTTGATATCAATTGACTTCGTTACAAAAATACAAAATGTACATTTGATTGGTTTATTAGTTCCAACCTTATTAAAACTCCATATGGTTATGTACAATGTATGTAGCTTGGAGGGAATATCTCTCTCCCTCCCTCATTATTAATAAGCAATACAAACATTTCATCATTTATCAATATATATATATATATGGATAAATAAATTGGCAAATTAAATTTTATTAATAATATGATTAATAAATGTATTCTATTTATAATACTTGATTATTTATTTGTAATAAATATATTAATAATATTCTTAGGGTGTAACTCAGGTGGGCCAGGCCCAATACTAAAGGTGTGAACCTTGAGTTCAAGCCTAGTGCAGCCCAAGCTCAAGTCCAAGCCCAAGCCCAACCTGAGCTTGACCCAAGCCCTAGTGCAAAATCTTACATTTTGTATTATTTTGTATGTATTTATGCTGTACATATTTGCATTTATACTTTTTCCAAACTGCGCCTTAAGGCCCAACCTTCCCGCTGTTCCGTTTCTTCTGGTGACATGAATTTAGAAAAAGGAAAAATGCAACTAATTCTATCTAGTATTTCAAAATACTGGTTTCCGTCTTCAATCCTTTCATTCTATCAAGCTTAGCTTTTACCTCCTCTTGTCCCTCCATCTGCTCAAAATAATGTAAACCACTGCTGCTTCCTACCTCCCAAAGTAAAGTAGGATGTATGGAGATTTACGGAGAGTGAACAACACATGCACACACACGCGCACAAGAACACATGCACACAGATAACTCTCAATAAGGTATTGAAGTGCCTCATTGTAAAGCTTAAATAATTCAGAGGTCCTAGATATTCTCATTTTAAATCATGTGTTAAATGCCTTTCTTTCTGTCCTATATGTCATTTGACTTCTAATGTAATTTATTTTATCGATCAATTAAGGAAGCAAAAAAGGATATACAGTTCCCTTGTGTGCTTTTTGTGTTCGACTTTGTTCGTTAAGTTCCGGTGCAATCAGCCAGGCTGAACTAAGCAGCCACTTTTGTTAAAATGCTTTTATGAATGCTGATTTTGGCTAGGTAACTGTTTTTTTTTTTAAGCCATAGGGCAAGAGCTTTATTTAACTTTCAACTTGGAGGTTACATTTCATCCAAAATAATAGATCGGATACAATCTGGAATAGAGGACCAAGTAAATGATCGGTTTTGTCTTAGAGCAAATTGGGCAAGCCCATGGGCTGCTCTATTACAGGACCGAGGGGTGTGATACCAAGCACAGGATGAGAAGGATTTTGAGATGGTTTTGCAATCCAAGGCAACTAGCAGTGAACTCCAAGGGGGTTCCAGATCCGAAGAGAGAACTTGAATAGCAACTTTAGCATCACTTTCTATGATAATCGGGTCCAAGATGAAAGGTTTTGCTAGTTGAAGACCCTCTAGAATTGCTTTAAATTCAGATTCAATGGGAGAAGAACCCTTCACCAACAAGGCTTTGGCAACCAGGAGTGATCCAAATTCATCTTGAGCAATGACACCGATTGCAGCTTTTGATGGAGACCATGCTTCATCAGTATTGATTTTATTGTGCAAATGAAGAGGTTTGATCCAAACTGATGAGGTTCTTTGAAGAGAAGAAGGAGAAGCAAATCCTAAGTTTTTAGGCTGGGTCAACAAAGGTCTTTCATGCATTTTCACCAAGTCTCCAAGGTGGGCATTATAGGGAATGAGAACGGCTGAATGAGTGAATGGCTTCCCATTAAAATAGGTTTGACATCTATCCTTCCAAATATACTACATAAGAACAATGCCTCTAGTAAATAGGGAGAGATTGGACTCCTCTTTAATAATGTTATCCATTTTCCTCTATTCCTCTAACTAGAAAAGAAAACCTTGATCATTGCAAATGTTGACTCGCAAACCCATGGATGAGGCAAACCAAATTGGTTGAACCGATGGGTAGTGGAAAAATAAGTGGTCCAAAGTTTCATGATCTTCATGGCAAAGTCTGCAAGTGGGATCAATGTGATTCGATCTCTTGGCAAGGTCAGCAGACATAGGAAGGGCTCCTTTGCAATAACGCCAAACAAAGGTTTTTATTCTAGGTAGGGTGAATTTTATCTTCCAAAAAGATTTCCAGCTTAGTCCTGGACAAATCCACATAGAGTGTGAAGATTCTGAAGAATTAAAAATAAGTTTGTATCCCAAATTACAGGTGTAGTTACCATGGGGAGTTAAAGTCCAAACCAGGGTATCCCCATGGGAATGAGAAGTAGAAGGGATACCTGTTCTCAAAATCATATTAACAATCTCTTCATTGAAACCCTATGTGCGCACAATATTATTCCAATTATGAGAGTGCTGATCTATAAGAGTAGCCACCATGTTTATGGGCCGGTTCCAAGTTGTAGGTCGGTCAATAAGACCATTTGGCAACCAAGGATCATAAAAAATATTAACATTCGACCTGCTATAGATAATCCACTTGCACCCTTTAATTAAGCCATTTTTGCAATCAAGAATAGCAATCCAAAGAGGTGAATCACCTGATTTTTTCTTCTAACGCCTGAAAGAACCATTTAGAAGATATTTTGCAATGAGAACCTAGGCCCACAAAGAATTATTTTCCTTTAAGAAACGCCAAGCAATCTTCGTTATGAGTGCTTTGTTGACCAAGAGAAAATGTCTGAAGCCTAGACCACCTTTCTCACTAGGAAGTAAAAAGGAATTCCAAGCCTTGAGGTAAAGAGGTTTTTTACCATGAGACACACCCAACCAAAAGTCTCTGTAGATGGCAGTTAAACCCTTACAAATGGTTGAGCGTAGAGAGTAAGATAGCTTGTGGTAAATAGGAATTGAGGTAAGGGTAGATTTAATGAGAGTAGATCTTCCTGCATGAGAGAGAACCCCCATTTTCCAGCCTTTGAGTTTAGCTTTAACTTTGTCCAATAAAAACTGCCAATAAGAGAATTTTCTAACTCCAATGAGTGGATCACCAAGGTAGGTATCTTCCTTTTTCATATCAGCAACACCCAACAAATTCTTAATTGAGTTTTGTGTAGATAAATGGGTATTTTTGCTGAAAAAAAAAATAGATGATTTCTCAAGGTTAATCACTTGACTTGTCCAATCACAGAATTTTTTTTTTAAATGACATTCAAGTGTTGAACTTCTTCAATTTCAGCTCTTCCCACTAATAATAAATCATCAACGAAGTGGTTGATTTTCACATTTGACCTGTCGAATCTGAAGCCTTTTAATGTGCCAGTCTCCAAGGCATTAGATAACATCCGAGAAAAAACTTCCAAATATATAATGGAAAGATAGGGTGAAAGTGGACAACCCTGTCTTAAGCCCCTTTCAGGAGAGAAACCATAGCTTGGCTTTCCATTAATCAAGATTTTCATAGAGTTAGAGACAATGCAAGCCTTAATTAATTTGCAAATAGATTCCAAAAAGCCCAATAGATTCAAACACTGAGTGAGGAACGACCACTCCACCCGATCGTAGGCCTTTGATAGATCCACCTTCAGTAGAAAGAAACCTTCTCGGCAATTGCTTCTATTCATTGAGTGAATAAATTCACGAGCTACCACAACATTATCAATTATCTGTCTCCCAGGTAAGAAAGCATTTTGAAATGGAGAGATAATTTTCTGCAAAAGAGGCTTAAGGTGGTTTGCAATCAATTTTTCCATAACTTTGTAAGTTATATTTGAAAGTCCAATTGGACGGAAATCACTTGCAGTTTCCACCTTTCCTTTCTTTGGAATAGTAGCAATACAGGTATCATTAATGGATGCAATGCGGGAAGGTTCAACAAATAGGGTGCGAATGAAATGACAAAAGTCCTCCCCCACAACATTCCAACCATTTTGAAAGAAAAGAGCATGTAGGCCATTAGGGCCAGGAGCCTTTAATGTGTTCATACTGAAGAAGGTTTGCTGGATTTCCAGGTTAAGAGCTGGAGTGCACAACATCGAGTTCTCATGATCAGTGATGCAAGGCATTATCAAATGTTCGTTGAGATCAGCAAAAGCCGGATTAACAGAAGTAAATATGGATTTAAAATAATTAATTAATGAGAGTACTTGAGCCAATATATACCATTCTTGCACTTCCGATTTGTAGCTGAAATATGGAAGTAACGGGTGTTGCGATCTCCATAATTTAACCAGTTGCATTTTGCTCTTTGCTTCCAATAGATTTCCTCCCTTTTATACCATTCTTCGAGCTCTTTTCTTAGCTTAGTCTCTTCAGCAATAGTCCATGGAGAAGAAGGGCTGCATTGTAAATCTTCAATTCGGTGAGTTAAATCCTTGATCTTAGCTTTAAAATTCAGCTTAGACGAATACCAAAGCCATAGCTTGCTTTTACTTTGACTGCACTTGGTAATGAAAGAACCTTCACTAGAATTCCAAGCTTGAACAAGATTCTCAGAATAATCTGCATAGGTCAGTCATGCCGCTTCGAAACGTCTTGTGGGTTTAAACTTCTTGTGGAAACCCACCAAACTACAGATAATAGGCTGTGGTCACTACCAACAGCAGGGAGATGCTTGACCATTGTTTTCGGATACAGTTCTAGCCATAGAGGTTGCACTAAAATCCTATCCAACCTTTCTCTGATGAGTAGATGGGCAGATCTTCTATTCGTCCAAGTATAGGCTGGGCCATGAAAGCCAAGATCCAGTAAACCACAGTTTTGAATGAGAGTTAAATTCTCTTGTATTTCTGATGGAAATTTGGCGACTACCCTCTTTTTCTTTGTCGTTCATAATGGAATTCAGGTCTCCAATTAAAGCCCAGGGAACTGTAGAAGAAGCATGGTCAGAATTGATAAAATCCCAGAGCTTAGATCTATCTTCTCTGTTGGGGAAACCATAGGCACACAGAAGATCCCACTGCCCTCTTCCAATGGGATCATCGGTCCTTGCAATAATGAGATTGCGGCTAGTGCTCAAAATTTGAAGATTAATATTGCTGCACCAACTTAAACAAAGGCCACCGGAGAGGCCATT